AAAAGTGCGCCATACATTTTTTGTTCGAAACTTTTTCCCTATTTTATTGGCGGTATTCCGGAAGGAATATCTCTCATATTTTATTTTTCGAAAATTTTACCCAAATGTTTTTGTGTGTAGCTCAGCATCCGCTGGACCAATCAAAAAGTGAGCCATATATTTTTTGTTCAGAACTTTCTTCTTATGACTTTGGCGGTATTCCGGAGCGATTATCTCGCAAATTTAATTTTTCTAAATTTTTTCCAAATTTGTTTTCTAGTGTAGCTCAGCATCCGCTGGACCAATCAAAAAGTGCGCCATACATTTTTTGTTCGCTACTATTTACTAAAGGCATTGGCGGTATTCCTAAACGATTATCTCTAAAGTTTAATTTTTCGAAATTTTTTCCTAAATTTATTTGAGTGTAGCTCAGCATCCGCTGGACCAATCAAAAAGTGCGCCATACATTTTTTGTTCGCTACTATTTACTAAAGGCTTTGGCGGTATTCCTGAACGATTATCTCTAAAATTTAATTTTTCGAAATTTTTTCCTAAATTTATTTGAGTGTAGCTCAGCATCCGCTGGACCAATCAAAAAGTGCGCCATACATTTTTTGTTCGAAACTTTTTCCCTATTTTATTGGCGGTATTCCGGAAGGAATATCTCTCATATTTTATTTTTCGAAAATTTTTCCCAAATGTTTTTGTGTGTAGCTCAGCATCCGCTGGAGCAATCAAAAAGTGCGCCATATATTTTTTGTCCAGAACTTTCTTCTTATGACTTTGGCGGTATTCCGGAGCGATTATCTCGCAAATTTAATTTTTCTAAATTTTTTCCAAATTTGTTTTCTAGTGTAGCTCAGCATCCGCTGGACCAATCAAAAAGTGCGCCATACATTTTTTGTTCGCTACTATTTACTAAAGGCATTGGCGGTATTCCTAAACGATTATCTCTAAAGTTTAATTTTTCGAAATTTTTTCCTAAATTTATTTGAGTGTAGCTCAGCATCCGCTGGACCAATCAAAAAGTGCGCCATACATTTTTTGTTCGAAACTTTTTCCCTATTTTATTGGCGGTATTCCGGAAGGAATATCTCTCATATTTTATTTTTCGAAAATTTTACCCAAATGTTTTTGTGTGTAGCTCAGCATCCGCTGGACCAATCAAAAAGTGCGCCATACATTTTTTGTTCGCTACTATTTACTAAAGGCTTTGGCGGTATTCCTGAACGATTATCTCTAAAATTTAATTTTTCGAAATTTTTTCCTAAATTTATTTGAGTGTAGCTCAGCATCCGCTGGACCAATCAAAAAGTGCGCCATACATTTTTTGTTCGAAACTTTTTCCCTATTTTATTGGCGGTATTCCTGAACGATTATCTCTAAAATTTAATTTTTCGAAATTTTTTCCTAAATTTATTTGAGTGTAGCTCAGCATCCGCTGGACCAATCAAAAAGTGCGTTATACATTTTTTGTTCGGAACTTTCTTCTAATGACTTTGGCGGTATTCCGGAGCGATTATCTCGCAAATTTAATTTTTCTAAATTTTTTTCTAAATTTATTTGAGTGTAGCTCAGAATCCGCTGGACCAATCAAAAAGTGCGCCATACATTTTTTGTTCAGAACTTTCTTCTAATGACTTTGGCGGTATTCCGGCGCGATTATCTCGCAAATTAAATTTTTCTAAATTTTTTCCAAATTTGTTTTCTAGTGTAGCTCAGCATCCGCTGGACCAATCAAAAAGTGCGCCATATATTTTTTGTTCAGAACTTTCTTCTAATGACTTTAGCGGTATTCCGGAGCGATTATCGCGCAAATTTAATTTTTCTAAATTTTTTCCAAATTTGTTTTCTAGTGTAGCTCAGCATCCGCTGGACCAATCAAAAAGTGCGCCATACATTTTTTGTTCAAAACTTTTTTCCTATTTTATTGGCGGTATTCCGGAAGGAATATCTCTCATATTTTATTTTTCGAAAATTTTACCCAAATGTTTTTGTGTGTAGCTCAGCATCCGCTGGACCAATCAAAAAGTGCGCCATATATTTTTTGTTCAGAACTTTCTTCTAATGACTTTGGCAGTATTCCGGAGCGATTATCTCGCAAATTTAATTTTTCTAAATTTTTTCCAAATGTTTTTGTGTGTAGCTCAGCATCCGCTGGACCAATCAAAAAGTGCGCCATATATTTTTTGTTCAGAACTTTCTTCTTATGACTTTGGCGGTATTCCGGAGCGATTATCTCGCAAATTTAATTTTTCTAAATTTTTTCCAAATTTGTTTTCTAGTGTAGCTCAGCATCCGCTGGACCAATCAAAAAGTGCGCCATACATTTTTTGTTCAAAACTTTTTCCCTATTTTATTGGCGGTATTCCGGAAGGAATATCTCTCATATTTTATTTTTCGAAAATTTTACCCAAATGTTTTTGTGTGTAGCTCAGCATCCGCTGGACCAATCAAAAAGTGCGCCATATATTTTTTGTTCAGAACTTTCTTCTAATGACTTTGGCGGTATTCCGGAGCGATTATCTCGCAAATTTAATTTTTCTAAATTTTTTCCAAATTTGTTTTCTAGTGTAGCTCAGCATCCGCTGGACCAATCAAAAAGTGCGCCATACATTTTTTGTTCGCTACTATTTACTAAAGGCTTTGGCGGTATTCCTGAACGATTATCTCTAAAATTTAATTTTTCGAAATTTTTTCCTAAATTTATTTGAGTGTAGCTCAGCATCCGCTGGACCAATCTAAAAGTGCGCCATACATTTTTTGATTGAAACTTTCTTTTAATGACTTTGGCGGTATTGCGGAGCGATTATCTCGCAAATTTAATTTTTCTAAATTTTTTCCAAATTTGTTTTCTAGTGTAGCTCAGCATCCGCTGGACCAATCAAAAAGTGCGCCATACATTTTTCGTTCAGAACTTTCTTCTAATGACTTTGGCGGTATTGCGGAGCGATTATCTCGAAAATTTTTCCAAAATGTTTTTGTGTGTAGCTCAGCATCCGCTGGACCAATCAAAAAGTGCGCCATACAATTTTTGTTCAGAACTTTCTTCTAATGACTTTGGCGGTATTCCGGAGCGATTATCTCGCAAATTTGATTTTTCTAAATTTTTTCCAAATTTGTTTTCTAGTGTAGCTCAGCATCCGCTGGACCAATCAAAAAGTGCGCCATACATTTTTTGTTCAAAACTTTTTCCCTATTTTATTGGCGGTATTCCGGAAGGAATATCTCTCATATTTTATTTTTCGAAAATTTTACCCAAATGTTTTTGTGTGTAGCTCAGCATCCGCTGGACCAATCAAAAAGTGCGCCATATATTTTTTGTTCAGAACTTTCTTCTAATGACTTTGGCGGTATTCCGGAGCGATTATCTCGCAAATTTAATTTTTCTAAATTTTTTCCAAATTTGTTTTCTAGTGTAGCTCAGCATCCGCTGGACCAATCAAAAAGTGCGCCATACATTTTTTGTTCGCTACTATTTACTAAAGGCTTTGGCGGTATTCCTGAACGATTATCTCTAAAATTTAATTTTTCGAAATTTTTTCCTAAATTTATTTGAGTGTAGCTCAGCATCCGCTGGACCAATCTAAAAGTGCGCCATACATTTTTTGATTGAAACTTTCTTTTAATGACTTTGGCGGTATTGCGGAGCGATTATCTCGCAAATTTAATTTTTCTAAATTTTTTCCAAATTTGTTTTCTAGTGTAGCTCAGCATCCGCTGGACCAATCAAAAAGTGCGCCATACATTTTTCGTTCAGAACTTTCTTCTAATGACTTTGGCGGTATTGCGGAGCGATTATCTCGAAAATTTTTCCAAAATGTTTTTGTGTGTAGCTCAGCATCCGCTGGACCAATCAAAAAGTGCGCCATACAATTTTTGTTCAGAACTTTCTTCTAATGACTTTGGCGGTATTCCGGAGCGATTATCTCGCAAATTTGATTTTTCTAAATTTTTTCCAAATTTGTTTTCTAGTGTAGCTCAGCATCCGCTGGACCAATCAAAAAGTGCGCCATACATTTTTTGTTCAGAACTTTTTTCTAATGTCTTTGGCGGTATTCCGGAGCGATTATCTCGTAAATTTAATTTTTTGAAAATTTTTCAAAAATGTTTTTGTGTGTAGCTCAGCATCCGCTGGACCAATCTAAAAGTGCGCTATACATTTTTTGTTCAGAACTTTCTTCTAATGTCTTTGGCGGTATTCCGGAGCGATTATCTCGCAAATTTAATTTTTCTAAATTTTTTCCTAAATTTATTTGAGTGTAGCTCAGCATCCGCTGGACCAATGAAAAAGTGCGCCATACATTTTTTGTTCAGAACTTTCTTCTAATGACTTTGGCGGTATTGCGGAGCGATTATCTCGCAAATTTAATTTTTCTAAATTTTTTCCAAATTTGTTTTTTAGTGTAGCTCAGCATCCGCTGGACCAATCAAAAAGTGCGCCATACATTTTTTGTTCGGAACTTTTTGCCTTTTTTTTTGGCGGTATTCCCTAGCGGTTATCTCGCAAATTTTATTTTTCGAAAATTTTTTCCACGATTTTTTGAGTGTAGCTCAGCATCCGCTGGACCAATCAAAAAGTGCCCCACACATTTTTTGTTCGAAACTTTTTGACTATTTTTTTGGCGGTGTTCCCGAACGATTATCTCGCAAATTTAATTTTTTGAAAATTTTTCCAAAATATTTTTAAGTGTAGCTCAGCATAGTAGGTATGTTTACATAAAATTTAGAAAAATTTTTGAAATATTAAATTTTTGAGATATTCGCTCTGAAATATCACCAAAGTTTTAACCTGGAATTTGTCTAGAATAAATGTGTTTGGCCTACTTTTTTATTTGATCATCGGATTTTGAGTTAGGTCAAAAGAATTTTTGGATTCTTCGAACAATTTTTGATTTTTTCATATAAGAGACTTGGGGATTGAGGTAGATATCTGTGGTATTTGTTTGATATTTTAATGAGGTTAAAATTTATTTTTTTTTAAATGTATTAATTATGTTAATTTAATGATACAATTTTAGATTGCAATGGTTGTGTTAAAAACTGGCATTATCCATCCGGACAGTGTCTTTACACTATTAGAGAAAATAGACAAGCTCTTGGTTTAGCCTATCACCCTCAGTTGCCTAAATTTGTTACAGTGGGAGATGACACTAAAGTTATTCTATATGACGAGGAAACAAAAACAATGGAAAGAATCTTTCAATCTAGGTTTGCATTACTTATGACAAATTTTTAGCTTTATTTTTATTATAGAAAAAATCTCAAAAAAAATTACACTGTTTATGTTTACAGTGGAACACCAGAGTTTATGAACGGTCATAAATCACGAGTTTTTTCTGCTTGTTTTAATCCCTCATCCAATCATGAACTTGTGAGCGGTGGATGGGACGATACAATTCAGTTTTGGGACATCAGACAACCCTTTTCTCAACGTTATATTGGTGGTGTTCATATTTGCGGTGAAGCCATAGACATTAGTCAAAATGGAAAAGAGGTTTCTTTTTTAAATCTATAGAAGAAAAATAATAAACCCAACTTTAATTTTCACACGAGAGGTATTAATCGTACGTTTAAAATTTTTAGATATTAACTTGCTCCTGGCAGGAAAAAAATCCGCTTCAATTATGGGATTATTCGTCTGGAAAACTTATTGCCAATTTGCAGCCAGATGCTTTTGAAAGTTATTTATATGCTGGAAAATTTATCAACAGCAAATACTATGTATGTGGAGGTTCTGATAACAATTATATCAGAATTGTTGATCGACAAATGCATTTGGTAAATTAAACATTTTTTATATATAAAATTTAAGGAAGTTCTCTCGCAAACAGAAATGACGAAGAGTTAATTATCAAACTTGATAAACTGATAGATAATGGTTTAAAGAAGATGTAGTTAAATTTTTAGAGGTCTAAGTGGATTTTGACAAAAGATATAAATAATTTTCTCTTTTCACATTTAACACGGGTTCTTATGGGAAATTGAATTTTTTGGTCTGAAATCTCAAATTGTGAAAAATCTGACGAAAAGATATTACTGGAACTTTATATACATAATGTTTAATAGCCAATGTTCACTTACTTTTAATAAAATTGATCAGACCTGGCTTAGGAGACTCACAATTAATTATTTTGTCTAAAAAAACACCGTATTTTGACAATCAGAAATTACTTAGCACAACGCTTGGCAACGTTGCGTCTTGTAGGTTAGGTATAGAAAAAGCGCGAAATTTGAAAGTAATATAAGTAGTATATACATATAATAGTATATTCTTCAAAGATTCATAATAATGAATAATAATTTGAATTTGCTTATAAAAAATTAAGATTTTTAAAATAATAAATTATTATTATTATTATTTAACGAAAATAAATCAAACAATAGCAGACGACACGAAACGGAACGGGGGAAATATAATCCAACGTTGCCAAGCGTTGAGCTAGTACTACGTGATACAAATGAAAACTTAAATGGGCATTGATTTGACTGACGTTGGAGGGGGAGAACTTCCTTAATCGTAAATATACAATTAGTTTATAATTTAAAAATATATTTATCAAAATCTGCTATTATAGACTATATGTGGAGTCAGAAATTTACCTGGAGGAGTTTATTCAATAGATATTGGACCAATGTCAGGAAGAAAAACAAAGTCGAGCAATTTGCCAAGAATTACATTTTGTAGCGGGAAAACTGTTTATGAATTAGAATCAACTTAAAATCAACTTTTCATCAAAATTTGTAATAAATGATTAATATTTGTTTCTTTCTCACTAAAACTCACTCTATTACCACTAATAATATCAAAATTAAATTGATTTAAACGTTTCTGATGGAAACAGAATTTACTATTACTAATTATAGCCTTTTTTACATCTGGGACTAGAATTATACGTAATTAAAAAAAATTAATTTAAAAATTTTGTTTTTAATTTAAAATTAAAATAATAATTTTACTATTTGAATAGTTTTTTTTACTGAATTTTACAGTTGATTTAACCGTTTTTACATAGTTGTCTCAACTACTTTTTGTCAATAGGCGCCTCCGGGAACTATGAAAATTAGTTACTGCAACCTAATGAAACAGTTAATTTGACTGACAAAAAATCATTGAAATAACTTCTTTATTTAGTTATAAATTTACTGTAAAAGTGGTAATTTTTACTAAACTTTACATTTAATCTGCCAATTATTTTTACATAGTTGTTTCAACTACTGTTTGTTCATAGGCGCCTCCTGGAACTAGGTGAAATAGTTAAAATTTAGTCAAATTTAGCATGAATTTTTTTAAGTGTAATAAAGAAAATTTTACACCAATTTCTTAATTACAAAAACATTAGAAGCAATCTATCAAAAAATAAATAATTTGATAATTTTTATGAAAAAGTGTTGCATAAATTTTCAATTTCTAAGCAATTTGACAAAAGTCAAATTATATTAAAATATACGGTAAAATAAAAAAGTTGCTAATAATTTATATATATTTAAAACTAATTTTATTTGTCATCGCTTTTAATTACGCAATACAGTTGATAATAATGATAATAATAATAATAATATAATAAAAATAAATTTAAGGCACAATCATTCTTATTAAATTAGATGCTATTTTGAAATAAGAACGTAACAGACAATTTTTTAAATAAAAAAAAATTCTTGTTATCATTCTTAACAATTTAAAAAAACGAATTCCGATTTTTATTCTCATTAATAAACCGTTCAATAAAAATCTTTAAAACATGATATTATATACCTACGAATGTTTAATTTTTTATTTCGGATAAAATCTTTCCAAAACATTGAAAATCACGATAAGTAAAATAACTGAGAATTATCTCAATAACTAGAATTGGTAATCTGATCTTTCCGAAATTCAAAAGAAAATTTACTATTTCATCCAAAGATTCTTCCAAATCATTAGCCCATTTAAATCGATGCTGAATAAATAGTTTATAGTAACGTAAATCTCGAAAATTTTCAACATTTGATAATTGTTGTTTCATAATAGGATTCTTAATAATTCGTACTGCAGTTGTTAAATCTCGTGCCAAAAAATCATAATACGAATAACATATTCCAACTTTGTTTAAAATTTTTCGCGTTTTTAATGTCTCTAATTCAAGTTTTATTTCATTAAATATTATAAATCCTGAAAAATTATTAGGATTTAAACAACAAACGAAATAATCATTTATATTTTCTCTCTTTAACGCTATATAAGAAATTAAAATCTTTAAATTGTTTATATATAAATACATTTTTGGATGATCAAATCTACCATAACAATGTGTGCCCGTTATATGTGTATTTTTAGAATCCAAATTGTGTTTTAATATTTTGTCTGCACCAAATTCCAATAAAGTAAGAACACTGACAATATGATCGTAATTTATGGCAATGTCAAATACAGAATAGCCGCTTTTATTTACAGCAGTAATACTTGAACCATGATCCAAAAGATATTCAACCAATTTCATGTTCGGATTAAATTCCTTCTGTAAGTGATGCATTAGAGGAGTATTTTCTTCTTTATTTTTGACATCAATTTCAAGACCATTTTTTAGTAGTAAATCGATGATTGGAATTGATGTACTTGCATGATGTAGAGCTGTATTTCCATCATCGTCAGCAATTCGAATATTTGCTCCAAATTCCAAAAGAATTTTCATCTCCTCAATACGTCTACGTTTACAAAATTGAATAAAAATTGGCATACCATTATTACCTCGCTTATTTGGATCAGCTCCATGTGTAAGAAATAGTTTCATAATTTCTTGATTAATTGTACAATTTCCTTTAAAACGACGAAATACGTTGATTGTTAATTCGTCAAAACCATGAAATATTTTCCCCATAAGATATCCGCTAACCAAATGCAAAGGATTATCAAAACCATCTTCGTTTGGATTAACATTGGCTCCATAATCAAGGAGAATTACACAAATCTCTTGATTTTCAAGTCGCGCTGCATAGTGAAGTGGTGTAAATTTAATTTTAGACTTAGAATTTGGATTAGCTCCTTTCTCCAAAAGAAATTTCACTGCATCAACATGTTGTTGACTAACCGCATAATGTAGCGCTGTTTCACCCTTTTCATTTCGAATATTCAAAGCTTCCGGCTGAATTTCATTTTTATTTATTCTTTTATTTGTTAAATATTTATGACAATCGTTTAATATTAATTGTAAAATATCGTTCGAACCAATTTTAGCAGCAAAGAAAATTAACAGCGAATAATATTTATCACTTGCTATTAAATATTCTTTATTTGATAGAAGAAATTTTATTAGATTTTCTGATATCTGTAATTTATCAAGCACATCTGATTCTTCAATTAGATTTTTAGTTTTAACGGAAATTCTATTCGGTAACGAATTATTCGGACATTTGAAATCAATTGTTAAATTACGTAACAAAAATAAAACAATTTCTTCAGTGCCAAAATATAATGCATGACTAAGTAAATTGGAATTGAGCTTAGTTTCTTGATTGAATAGAATTTTAACCATTTGAAAAGAATTTTGAAAAGAATAGAAAATAGGCGTTTTTCCGTATTTATTTTGGGAGTGAATATTTAATCCAATATTCAATAGCTGAGTCGCAGTATCGACGGTCCCATTTTCAGCCACAAAATGAAGAAACGTATTACCACAACTGTCAACAATCTCTACAACATTTTCATTAGAAAGTATATATTGGATACGAGCAATATTTTTTGACCTCACAGCGTTTCGGAATCTGCACATGACATTAGCTCTTAGTTTGTTAAACATTTTTTACTAATTATATATAAAAGTCTGTCAATTTTTATCCATTGTACTTTAATGATCCTGAAAAAAATTAACATATACTAGAAAATTTTTTTGAGCTAATTTTATCACTTTTACAAATTATATATATGGGGAGGGGGGGGAAGGGTTCAATACAAAATAATCAACAGTTTCTTTTTAATATTTTTTTTTTTTTTTTTTATGAAATACAAAAAGTTTTAATCAATATCAGTTTCAATAGCAATTTTATTTCGATTAATAATAAAATGTATTTTAAAAAAAATTATATGAAAAGAAAATTTTCCTTTTTTTGGGAAAAGACAACTTTTTTTAAAACAAAAGCTGAGATTTTTTTTCTAATAGGATATAGATGAAAAAGTAAAACTAAAATGTTAAATCATAGAAAATTAACATTCTTTTTTTTACTAGAGCGCTGCGGGCTATCAAACGCAACACAAAAAATGCTCAAGTGAATATTTGAAAACCGTTGTTTATATGTATGAGACATTTCTTATGAGAATGTCATGTCTCGGATTTTTCTAAAAATTCAGTAAATTGTAGTGATAGTGGTGCTAAATAAATCGATAGTTAAATTTTTGAGATGGCATAATTTTTTGTTTTCGAGATATTAATTAATTAACTAACAAAAGTTAATAAAAAATGAAATGAAGGGTAGAATGACAAAAGGGGTCAAGCGCCAATTTATCGAAAATGAGGTTTTTGCATAAAAAAATCAAGAAAATTCATTTACACATTTCTGTAGAAGGATTTCCTTTTTTATTGCGTATTTAAATCAGTTTTTAATAAAAATTAAATTAATAAAATAGCCTTAAATTTACTTTATTGCAACCTGATTGAAAAACAAAAGAAAGTGATGAGTCAATAATATTATCAAAATAAAAAAAAATATTATTTTTTTAGGTTTTATTTTAATATTTTATTTTAATTTTATTTTAATAATATTTTAATTAATAAAATTAATAATAATAATAATAATGTATTTTCAATTTTAAACAATTTTAAAATCATTTTGTTATTAATTTTTAAATATTTTTATGGTTATACTAAGTGAACAATTGAATTTAAAGATGAAAGTATTGCTCAATTCCAAAGCAAGCAATTAATTCGTAATTTTCTTGAAAACAAACAATTTTTTAAAGGAATTTTTTTTTCTATTAATTTCGTCGATTCCATAGAAAGAAACTAATTTTCCAGTTTTTCTTTAAACTGTATATTTTTTTTATAATTAATGCTTAAAGAAAATGTGCGCAGTTGATATAACCTCAAGGAACCACAGTTTTTTTTAATTTTATCGTTAATATGTAGGTTTATTTCAACAAATTGTTGTTTATTTATTAAAACATACTAATATATCGAAACGGTTTTCTCAGTTTTTTTTTAAATGACCTGCAAAATTTTTAAAAATGTTTTTTTTACTTCCTGTAAAAACAGTGAATTGGCGCTTGACCCCTTTTGTCATTCTACCCTTCAAATATTCTACGAACAAATAAAATTAGAGTAATGTTAAAAACACCATTAGAATACTTATCAAAATACGCATCCAACGAGCCATATATGAAATATGTCTGATGAACGGGTGTGAAATTAATAATTAATAATAAAAATTATTTAAATAATTAATAATTAATAACATTTAAGGAAATGAAGATAAACCATCAATTCTTTTTTTATTTGGAAGATCATCTAATTCTGTGTTAAATAAAACCAATGTAAATAACATTTTTAACAAATCTAAATTATTAACAGATGATTATTGAAAATTGAGGTTTCAGCACCCTACGACACAAGTTGGAGGGGGCTTCCTACCTACTCGGCATGGTATTTTTCAGTCTTTTTCTAAATAACATTTTATAATGAATTTTTTGATTCTTAGTAATACTTAATAATCTTTTTTTGACACAGAATTAGATGATCTTTCAAATAAAAAATAAATTGATGGTTTATCTTCATTTCCTTAAATGTTATTAATTATTTAAATAATTTTTATTATTAATTTTTAATTTCACACCCGTTCATCAGAAATATTTCATATATGGCTCGTTGGATGCGGATTTTGAAAAGCATTCTAATGGTGTTTTTAAAATTACTCTAATTTTATTTGTACGTAGAATATTTCATTCTTTATTAACTTTTGTTAGTTAATTAATTAATATCTCGAAAACAAAAAATAATGCGATCTCAAAAATTTAACTATAGATTTATTATGACTTAAACAATATTAATGAGTTTTTTCGCGTTTCTAAATGAGGGAGAACATGTTTAATAGTTATAAACAAATTTTATTTTTTAAACAAATTGTTTAAAAATTAATATTTAAAAAAAAAATAATTTTTTTCTAAAAGTTTAAGGTCTTCTGCGTAAAAAACATTTACAACCTTTTTCTCTATTTTTAATAGGAAAAAAGTTATAAGTAAAGCAAAAAAATATTGCTCAAATTTGTTATTGCAAATATCTCGAAAAATATTAAAAATTTAAAATTCAAAATTTGTACACTTATTTAGCACCACTATCAATACAATTTATCAAATTTTGAGAAAAATCCGTGACATGACCCCGTATTCTCATAAGAAATGCCTCATATATACATAATGTCGATAAATTTGTGAAAACTTTTATTAATAGGTTAATTTTTAAAAATTTTTTAAAGAATTCATTTTATCACAATCTTATTGGAAATTAGAAATACTTATAATCGTAAATATAAATTTCGAAAAATTTACCTAAATATATATATATACGAAATTCGATTTTAAATAGATTCAATTATAAAAGAAGATAATAACATAAAGTGAAAATTTTATACACTTTTTTATACTTATTTTCAATTTAAAAAAGAAAAAAGAAAAAGGTATCAATATTTATATATATACTTTACCTAATGAGAAAAAATATATAACTCTCTACTTTTTAAATCAACAATTTAAAATATTACATCCAATATAGGTTAAATAAATATTAAGATATAAACATCTGAAAGTTCTGAATAGCGTAAATAGAAACATAAAAATTTAAGCCCTTTCTATAATAAAGCTTGGAATATGTAAGAGCAAACGCACAATGAATTCGTGAAGACCGTTTGCGAACGAGATGTATGAGATTGGGATCCGAAATCTTGTGTAACTACTCAACCCTGAACCCACTTGCGGCAACCATTTTGCTGTTTTGTCTCTTTTTTTATACATATGTTAGACAGACAAAGCTGAAGTACGCAACGTTTATGATAAATGATTTTTAAAGAAATAATTTTTTAAAATGAAAATATCTATAATTTTTTGCCTAAAAAATATTTTTTATAATTTGTTGACTAATGAAAACTACAAAAAATATTTTTTAGGCAAAAAATTTTAGAATTTTTCTATTTAAGGCCATCCGGTAAAAATCCCTAACCTAAAAGTGTTTTCCCGCGCGAGATATTACTCGTAAATAACTTGAAATATCTTGTTCGGATTTGTCGGATTAATTAGATGAGGGCGAGCTGATTAAGAATCATCTCCATTTTTACAAGTAACTTTGTTGAAAAGTATTGAAAATCGTGATTATAAAAGTTGGATTTTTGACAGAAGTGGGGACAGTAGGGGAGGCGAGCACACAGACATTGAATCTATGTGTCAGTGGCCCAGAAGGTGGCGCCAATTCTAGCTAGTGGCCGCTGCTGAACTAACTTACCCCAAATTACTCCACTTTAAATCTTTAATAAAATAATTTCCTCACAATATTATTGCAAAAATGGAGAAGAGCCCCACTCAGTAACCCTTCCTCTATTATTCCTCCAAATGCCAACTCGAAATACTTTATCCTTTAAAGATGAGAAGTAATTTACGAAACCCCTTTTTGCCAATGTTTAAACATTTTTTTCAATAATTATTTATCAAGATTATGCAAAATTCCGAGAAGAGCCCCTGGCAGGGTACCTTCCTCTATTATTTCCAAAAAATTACAACCTAAAATATTCTATTTTTTTCAAATGAGAAGAAATCTACAAAACCATTATTTTCTCCGGGATGCCCTTAAGAAATTATTTCTTTAAAAATCGTTTATCATAAACGTTGCGTACTTCAGCTTCGTGTTAGACAGAGACAAAATAAAAAATGGCTACCGTAAGTGGGTCGACACCAGATGGCGTATTGCAGCTCTGCGGTTCCCAATAGAAAATGATACAAATATATCTCTATCCTTTCATAACACATGCTATGTTTCGCGAATATATTCTGCTAAGGGCTCTGCCATAAGGCCTTTCTCCAATTGGGAACGGTGGTCTAGTAACAATCTAGTAACTTTGACCCATTCTCTCCCTCCATTTTGTTTTTTCTACTCTTTCTAACCTATTAATTGAAGAGAGACAAAGAAAGAAAATGGAGGGAGATAATGGGTCCCCACCAGATGGCGTATTGCAGTTTAGCCGATCCCAATTTGTTCCTAAATGTTTGTGTTGCGTGACTAACGCGTTGGTTCGCAAGCGCAGTGACAACGTAACCTCTTTTTGTTATTTACTTTCTGGTTTATTGTTGATAAATAAGTATTAATTACTAAATAAAATATTTAAATATTGGTCAATTGAAAACTTTCAGTTGAGTTAAATAATATTTTTTTATTTGCAATAATTTCGTAAAAAAAATTTTAACATTTTAAATGTGCTTCCGTTCTTAATTTAGAAGAGAAATACTAATATAATTTAAATTTTATCAAAGCATTGATCAAGAAGACTAGAATAAGGAGGTCTAACTCAGGTAGTGGGGGTATGGTAAGTATACGTATGAAATTGGGGCGATTCACGATTCTTAACGAGGCAACAAAAATGTATATGTATTGGTGTGCGCAGAAGTCTACCGCACACTCTGCCTTTCGGCCTACCACGAAAACCAATTCTTTACGTACCCCCACTACCTGAGTTAGACCTCCTTATTCTAGTCTTCTTGGCATTGATAATTAATTTTTGCCAATTTCAGAACTTTTGAAAATTAGAAATTCGAAACAAGCAGATTTAGGGTTATGTTTCTCAAAATTAGCCTTATGTATAATACACATGTAGAAAACTCATGTATAATACGTGTATAATACACGTAAAATACCTTGTATTATACTTGAGGTTTTCTACGTACCCATCTCTGCAAGCGCCTTCATATTACGTGCGCAATGTGTGCAACCCTGGCTTAGACCTTATATTGTAGAAAGAGCTTTGAACAGCTTGAAAGTGAATATTGTATAAACGATATAAATATTAAATTATACATCAAGAAACTAACAACATTTTTAGAGCGTATTGATTGTTAAAAATTTCTACCCATATTAATAATGGTTTAAGATGGTGATCTAAGAAATAGAGAATTTAGTCTTTTTACTCTTCATTATAGGTAAAGTACATATATTTATTAACATTAAAATTATATATTATGCGGTATACTGTTTCTAACCTTAATTGATATTAATATCTCGAAAACAAAAAAAAATCGGGAAAATTTATATACAAATTGGAAAAAACCTCAGCTTTCGTTTGCAATTATTTAGTTAAAAATAAAAAACGCACCAATTTTATAGTGAAAATAGCAAATTTATGTTTAATTATAGAAAATCAAGGTCAAAATTCAAAAATTTTAAAAAACGAAATTTACCATTGGAAAGAGCATGAAAAAACCATCCAGGTATGTTTTTTTTTGGCATGCCAAAATTTTTTTTATTGCATTTATAGACAAAAAAAAATTCAAATAGTAGGCGGTGTCAGGGAAAACTGATAAAATTGACTCCCCCCCCCCGCCTCTTTCTCCCCCAAAATTTCAAAAAAGTCAAAAAATTTTTTAGGGATAAGTATAAGTAAGTAAATAAAAATCTTGAGAATATTTAAATAAATTTTTTTTTAAAATCGTATATCATCCAAAAATAATAAATTTTTGCAATAATTCTTTTGTTCCTCTGTGCAAAATAAAGTGATTTATGTTTTTGGTGAGTTCCAACATCTAATTTTTAATAGTTTTTTAATAATAGCGTTTTTAAAAAAATTGAAAAATTTAAGGTTACAAAATCACATTGTGAACCTCCTACTTTTGATATTTAATATTTTTAAAGGGTATAAAATTTTTACCATAATATTATGGTTAATGAACTCAGGGAATCATCGAGTTTCACATATATTAAAACTAGATTTTTTTAAAAATTTGGTCGTAACCACTATTAGACGAAAGTCAGTGGACTAACGCAATATATTATTTTACGAGTATTCACATTTGGTAAACCTTTGAAAAGAATAATAATTAAATTGTTGTCTAAAATTTTTTAATTTATCAAATGTATAAAAGTATAACTTTCAAAATAGGCTAATTTTTCATTGTATATAAATAATTTCTATTTTTTTTCAGAAATCATCAAAGGACAGTATAGATAAGAATTGACATTACTTTCTAAATATAGTAAAAAAATGTCATATGTAAAGGATAAATCAGTGAGTCTTATGAGTAGATTTCGAAACGCCGTGAAGTCAAAAAATAGTGCTCGTATAAATAAGATACTTTCTGAACAATACATTTTGGAGAATGCTAACCGTTTTTTTAGTACATTTCTTCATTTCGTAGCTGAAAATGGCACAGTCGAAACTGCTAATCAATTATTAAAAATTGGATTAAGTATTCACACTCGAAATGAAGATGGAAAAACTCCGATTTTCTATGCCTTTCAAAATTCTTTGGAAATGATTAAACTTCTTTTTGATGATAAAACAATCATTGATTCTAATTTACTTGTTCACGCTTTATATTTTGGAACAGAAGAAATTATGCGATTGCTATTAAAAAATGAATTAAAATCTGTTTTCGAATTTTCAAATAACTCAGTACAAGATGAAATTTCCATTGGCACTAACACTGAACATCAAGAGGGAAAAATACTCAAAGAATGGGAGAATACGGAAAATCTAATAAAATTTCTTTTACAAAATAAGAAATATTTAATGCCAAAGGGAAAGTATTATGCGCTATTACTTTTTTTTGCAGCAAAAATTGATGAAGAAAATATTTTTCAATTAATATTAAATGATTGTCATAAACATTTAACATATAAAAGAAAGAAAAATAAAAAGGAAATTCATCCTGAAGCCGTGGATATTCAAAATGATAAGGGTGAAACAGCGCTACATTATGCAGTTAGTCAACAACATATTGATGCTGTAAAATTTCTATTGAAGAAAGGAGCAAATAAAAATTGTCAAAGTAAAATTAAATACACACCACTTCATTATGCTGCGCGTATTGAAAATAAGGAGATTTGTGAAATTCTCATTAATTCTGGAGCTAGTGTTAATACAAATAATGATGGTCGAAATAATCCTCTGCATTTAGTTAGTGGATATTTTATAGGAAAATATTTTCACGGTTTTGACGAATTAACAATCAATGTATTTCGTCGTTTTAGAGGGAAAACTGCATTTAATAAAGAAATTATGATGTTACTACTTAATCACGGAGCGAATCCAGATATGCGAGGCATTAATGGTATGCCCCTTTTTATTCAAGCTTGTAAACGTAAATGTATTGAGGAGATGAAAATTCTTTTGAAATTTGGTGCGAATATTCAAATTGCTGACAATGATGGAAATACAGCACTTCATCATGCAACTATTAATTCCTCGATAAAATCTTCAATTCCAATTATTGATTTCCTACTGAAAAATGGTCTCGAGATTGATGTCAAAAATAATGATGAAAATACTCCTCTTATGTTCTTGGTAGAGAATATGTATCAACTTAATATGAAATTGATTGAATATTTTGTATATCATGGATCGAGTCTTAATGCTAAAAATATAGGTGGCAATACTATATTCGATATTGCTTTGATGCATCATAGATATGGCATTGCTCTGACTTTGTTAGAATTAAAAGGGGACAGAGAATTAAATTGTGATTCGGATCCTGAAAAAATACATGCATTAAGCAAGCATTGTTATGGTTTATATGACCATCCGACATTTACGATCTCCAGAAATAGAGAAAATTCAGTTTTAATTTCTTATATTGCGTTGAAAAGAATTAATGTAAACGATTATTTTACTTGCTGCTTGAATTCCTGGTATGGAAGAGAAACATGGATGTTTGACAATACGAAACTTGAGCTGGAGAAATTAAAATCGCGAAAAATTTTGAACGAAGTAGGAACATATTATTCGTATTATGATTTTTTGGTACGAGATTTGACAACTGCAATAAGAATTATTAAAAATCCTACAATGAAAGAAGAGTTATCTAATTTTAACAATTTTCGTGATCTTCCTTTTTGTAAACAATTATTTCAGCATCGAGTTGAATTGGCTAATGATTTAGAAGATTATTTAGATAAAATTGTTAATTTCTTTTTAAATTACAGAAAAATGAATTTACCAATTCTTGTTATTGATATGATTCTCAGTTATTTTTCTTATCGAGATTTAACATTTTTTGGAATAATTTTATCCGAAATAAAAAATTAAATATTCAATGAAAATTTTGTCTTTAAAAGTTTTGTTTAAACATACTTTACAAAATTGATTCTATGAAGAATGAGATTTTTTTTTCAATTATTGTTAATTAAACCTGAAATTAAGAAATTTAATTAAAATAAATGTTTGTTAGTTGGTTATTATGAATCCATTAAGAATATTTGCGTCTAAGATTTATTTTTTTAAAAAATATGTTGTATAGTGTTTATAGACAAATAAAATTTGTTCTAAAAATAAATTTATATTTAATTTAATTTAATCCTCGAAATGATTTTCAAAAATAATGAATTTAATTTTCCAAATCAGAATCGTCGTTTATTTTAAAATTTAGAAACACAACACTTTTTGTTAAGTGTTATAACTTTTTGACTAATTGGCGGTAATTTTACTAAAAGAAAAAAAAACGTTTAATTAAAATTAATCACAAAACCTCACCGTTTTATTTTTGTTTCAATTTTTTCATTAATTGTCTTCATAATATTTTCAATAAGAAAATTTCATAAAAATGTACATTTTGCTTGTTAAAAAAAAAAAATGTGTGCTAATAAGTGCTGTAAACATTTTTTTTTTTTTTTAAATGATAATTAGGACTTGAATTTTAAAATACATATTTTAAAGCTCAAAAATGCCAATAATTGAATACAAAAAATTGTGCTCACTCAGCACAAAAACAATCAACCGTAACATTTTCGAAAACTTAAAATTTTTTCAAAATATTACATTTTTAAAAACAAAACATGATTTTTTAAACCAGGAAACATTAAAAATTATTTTTTCAAAAACAAATCTTATATGCTAAATTGTACTTGCCCCGCGCATAAAAATAAAAAAATTATAACATTTACGAAAATTTTTTTCAAAATAATTCAATTCAAAAATATGTTTTCTATTCCAGAAATTTAAAAGAATTATTATTTATCAAAACCAAATTGTTTGCTAAGTTGTGCTAATTCACTATTAAAAAAAAAAATATCAACTGTAACATTTTCGAATACTAAATTTTTTCATAATATTTCAATTTTAAAATAAAAGAAAAAAAATTTTTCACCCAGAAACATTAAATAATAATTGTTTTTCTAAAACATATTTTGTGCTAAGCAATATTTCTAAACTTACCTTACACTGCAACTGATGTATATATGTTTCGAAAGATGAGTTTGGCTGGAAACACACGCGTTTAAAAAATTTTGAACAATTTGGAAATCACATTTTTAAATTAAGAAACAAACTACTTTTTTTCTAAAGATTGAAGCGATCGCGGTTTTTTTTAAGAATTTCGAACACTCCCGAAACAAACAAAAAAATGCCTATAAAATGATTAAAAAAAAAAAGTTTAACTCTATAAATTTTTTCTTTTGCAAAATTTAAAAAATTCGAGCACTCAATAATTTATTTACTTATTCAAATTTGAAAAAATCAAATAAAAATACATTTAACACAGAGAAAAATTTTGATTTTAAAATTGCAAAAAAAAATTCACACTCCCATTGATCACGTGCAAACAGGTCAATACATGAATTACAACTAATTGAATTATCTTTGCTGGGATTTACAAATCCACATTATAATGACCTTCAGCTTAAGCTGTATCCTTTGTACTTCAATGTAAACATACAGCACGAGACGCAGGTATAAATACTATAATAATTTCAAATTCACTTCCTCAAATTTAAAAAAAATTTGGAAATTATAATTTCAAATTTAAATATTATTTCACTTACTTAAATTATTTGAGATAATTAAAATCATATAGTATAAAAACTTACTACATACATTGAAATTGCAACTGATTTTTTGTTTTTTTTTTTAATTATTAGTATTTGACAAAATTTAATTTAAAATAATATTTTAAATTAACAAATTCGCTAGTTTTTTTTAAACATTTTAATAGAATTAATTTTTCAAAAATTAATGTATTTATAATTCTCGGGGGTTTTTTTTTTTTATTCATGACATTTTTTCAATCTAATTTATTCTGATATCAATCTATTAAAAATGGATTTTGGAGTGAATGGAAAAAAAAATTTTTTTATATGTAAAATAAAAGTTACGAAGAATTCTGACAAGCAATAAACAATTTTATTTAATACAAACTATGGTACAAAATTTATACAGAACAACGCATGGTTTTCTTTTATTTACTTCGTACCTCATATGACAACAGCTTCTCATCTCGTTTGAACGCACACACATTTAAGCGGATGGGACATGGAGGAAGGAGAAAATTACTAATAAAAATGAGCACATCGATTCGCAATAATACAAAACTTACTTTGACTTACTAAGTAAACTAATCGACTCGGTTAGAGAAAAGAGTACGACGCGTCTCGTTTCAACAACAAATACGATCCATTTTTTTTTTTTTAGGTATTATTATCTCAAAGACTAAGAGAGAGATAGAGAGAGAGAGCTAATGTAACTTGAATTATTTGCAGAAAATAATACCAATTTTCACAATCGAAACGTGTTCAATGTACTCTTTCCAAAAATCATCCAGCCTTACTTAACGAGTAAGTAGTTACTTATTAATTTCTAACGGCGACGATCATCTAAAAGTTTTGAGTTACATTTGGAAAGTTCGTCGTATTCACAACTCTACTTCTAACACAAAGCCTATTTGGTTTAGAAGTCACATTGTAATATAAAATAGAATAATTGTCGTGTGCTTAAAACGCGAAGTGTTGCATTTTTTCAATTCTTTTTGTTTTTTGTTTTCTTTTTTATCTGCAAACCGCATCGCCCAGCGTAAAAAATTGGTCATCAATTTGTTTTCATAAAATTATTCATTTTCACATTTTTCTTAATGTTTTTAATTTTCATATTTAATTCGTATTTCTTTTTTTTTTTTTATTTCTTCTTCTTACATCTCACTAACTAAATTCATTGATACGCGAGAGACACGTGAGAATGCACGCACAGTATTATATTTATATAACAAAAGTTCGATATGTCTTAAAAAATATCTTTGAAAATCGTATAGGAAACACTCGCGTAGCTTGGCTCACAATTTTTTTTTAAAAAAACATGCACATTAGCACCCTCCGGTATTATTTAGTTGTACTTTTGGCTTTTTAAAATCACGATTTCAATCTGAGGCATTATCTAAAAAATTACATCGCCGGGTATCAAAAACTGGTTCAGTTAAAGTATCAAACATAATCGATTTTATGTCGTGACAATTATTATTAATTCAAATATAAAGAGTAGGACAATTAAAGTTAATTTACAAAAAAAAAAAAAAAAAGAAAAAAAATATAGAAAAGAAATCACTAAAACAGTCATATTTGAGATATAGTTTTTTTTTTTTTTTATCAACCTCTAAGAAGTAAATTTCAATTTTTCATACAATACGTAATAATTTAAAAAAAAAATCGAGAATTATTTTATTAATATTCATATCAATTTTGATTTAAAAAAAAAAATGTTTATTTGTCTCAAGGTAAAATATTTGACTGTTTTTGAGTGAATTTCCCTCAATTGTACACATACTTACAAACATTACGCAAAAAATTTTACTACATCATTCACTTTCATGCACACATTGCACTTGCAAGTGCGTCTAATCACATTATTTACTATAAGTTACTAATAGTTTAACATTACATTGTCTCGAGATCTCTTCCGCTAAACGTCTCGACAAAATTGTAATGACGCGACAAATAATAATAATAATAATAATTACAGTGTAAACGTCGAATGACTTAAAAACAAAGCAAGAATGAAATGAATATAGACCAGAACTTGTGCGAGGCTCAGACGTTACATTCACAGCCTGACTGAGCACACGCCTCTCGACAAATCGAAGCATCATCATCACCCCTCTTTTTACGCATCGGTCTTAGAAATTTTTTTTTTTTTTCTTTTTCTTTGATTCCAAGTCGAAATTTCTCTCTATTTTTTTCTCATTTACTCTTTTGAGAAGAAACTCTCATCTACACAAAAAGATGAGAGGGTTGACTCAAAATTAAAGCAGAAGAGTTAGATTAGAGAGAGAGAAAAAAAAACAAAAACTGTCAAACTAATGTTTCGTTGACTGTTAGTTAAAATTTTTATGGGAAGAAAATAATCTCAATGCGTAATGTACAGAATTTCTTAATCATTTACAATCCAATTGTCGAATTTTTATTTTATTTTATTTTTTTTTTTTTGTCTTAACGAGTTCCAGCCACTCTAATCGAGCAAAATATCGATGGCTCGAAGGAGTTTTAAACTATTGGCGTTAAGGAGATCACACAATTTAATTTTTTTTTTTTTTTATTATTATTATTTTTTTTTCGAACACGAGACTCGTATTTAATATCGAAATTCTCGTTTCGTTCCGTAAGCTTCGCTCAATCATTTGATATGAAAGTTTTTAATTTTTCATTAAATAGTAGTTGGATCTTAAAAATAAAGATCATTCTTTTGAGAAAAACATCATAGCAATGAATATTAAACTCATCTCATAATGAGTGAAATAAAAACAATTATTGAATTGTTCTTTGAAATTATTTAAAAAATTTCAGTATATGAATATTTTTTGTGAATAAATAAAATATATTCTATAAAGTAAAATTGCTTCTTGATGTATTTTCTTTTTATTTATTAATTTTTTTTCTATAGAAATAATTGATTCAGTGAAATTTCAATGAAAAATAAATGAAAATCTTTTTTTTTTAAAAAAAAGTTACTGAATTATGCCAATACAATTTTAAATCAGTATTTGACTATACATAGCAAAATATTTAACATTCTCCCAATTACGTTTTGAATATTAAATAAAGAAAATTTTATTTTCAACAATACATCATTTTTGTAAACTCAATTACTTAATATAAAGCAGTGTAAAATAAAAATTAAATATTTTTTTTTTGTAAATTCCTTATCTTCGTTTTTATTTCTCCATTTTGAAAAAAAAGAATTAATTAATTGAATTTAAAAATATTTTTTTAAAGCAATTAAAATTTTTCTCTATAATTAAAATATTAAATAGTAAAAATGTTATTCTTAATAAATAATTTGAATTAATTTTTAAATTTATTTCAAAAATTTATTGAATTAAAAAAAATTTTTTTTAATTATTTTGATCAATTTTTTTTTTTTATTTCTGTTGGAAAATTTTTTTTTTTTTTTATTAATTGTTCAAAATAAAATTTGAAAAAATGTACTCTCCTGACAAATAAGTTTTTATATTTATTTTGTCATTCACTCATTTCATTGATTTAATTGTTTGGAGTTTAGAGTTGATAATGCCAATTTTAGCTAATCTTGAAGTTTAAGAACTTAATTGTAAATATACTAATCTTGTACTTTTTTTATTTAAAAATTTTATTAATTTAAAATTCAAATTAAAAATTTTAAAATAAATCTACAACAATTTCGTTAATTGAATTTCAAATTGTTTCAAGTGTTCCAATTTTATTAAATTGTTTTCGATTTATACTGTTTTTTTTTGCCAGTAAATATAAAAAATTGATTAAAACTTAAAATTATAATAATTTAAAATGGTTTATACAAAATTTAAAAAAAAAATAGAATTCCTATTTAGTTATTTTTTTTACCCTTGAATTATATTTTCTATTTTTTAATGAATTTGAGGTTATCACAAACAAGGTGTACTAATTTTTCTCAAACAATTTACGTCGTAAATGCAGTTATTAAAAATTTTTAAAAATCAAAGATATTCGCTTTTTATGTGTTATAATTTGGTTTTAAAAAATGTTATTTTACTATAAAAATTCGATATTTACTTTATGAAGATTCTCTTTTTTTTAAAAATTATAACTGAAAGTATATCCTAATTGTTTAAATTACAATTTCTTGAGAATAATGAAATTATTTTCAAATACGTAAGTTTCAGGAGAAAAATTTGTTTTTTTTTGTACATAATCCATAAACACTTCTTTTTTTTATATAAAAAAAAGTGTAATTTCAATTATTTACAATGCTGTTAAATATTTTAATTAAAAAATGTATTAAAAAAAAAAAAAAAGTTTTTCTTTTAGTTTCATTTTAATATAAATGAACGAGCGTCGCTTACGATATTTTGTTTTTCAATTAAAAGAGAGTCTTTATTCTTACATAGTATTGTAAACGGGACTACTATGCCTAGGTCTGTCCTGCAACCTCGCTAAAGGATGTGTTCTACCGTATTGTTGTTGCTTTTTGCTGGCAGCTTTTGCAACAACACTAGCGACAACAACACTTGAAGTGGGAATTGGTGGCCTACCTGGTGCTTCCGGTGTTTCATTAAACAATGATGATGATGATGAATGATTAATAATAATTGGAGTCGATCTCCTAACAAATTCTGGAGCAATTTTCGATTTTGCTGGCGGATGCATTTCCATTGAATCACGATCTCTATTAGCACGCAATTGTATTTCTGAATTTCTTTTTGTTTCTGGTTTCTCATATTTACCAACAAGAACTTTCACGGAAAGATCTTCCGTCTCCTGAGACGGTGAATTTCGTTTCGATTCATGAATCTTTGATTCATTGTGCGCAATGACTGGCGATGAGGGTAGACTTCTAATTTTTACATCTCTTTTCGGTCGTAAATTCACATCTGAATCGAATGATGAATTTTCGGGACTCTTTTCAGTTTTGGTGAATGATTTTGCCTCAAATTCCTTTTTGAGATTCTTGACAATGCCCGAAATGCTTCGTTGACATTCGGCCTCGGGCGAATCGTCAACAGAGAAACATCTTTTATTGAAAATTGGTTTTGTATTGAGATTCTCGAGGACCATTTTATGATGTTTAACAGATGGACATTGCGGTGTGTTGACTACACTTGGACTTGATGTTTCACTCTCGGATCTACATGTTCTTAAGGAAATGGGCAAATCAGTTTCGGATGAAAGTGACGATGGTGCTGGTGCACTTGTCGAGAGTCGACCCATTTGTCGCAGGGACATTGGAGTGATATCAATGGCTCCGAGGGGTGAATCGTTTAGAATTTGATTCTGTTGTTCGTTGATGAGATTTTGTTCAGCTGTAATTGGCGAAGGATCCCTTCGTCTTGGAGTTGGCGATGGTGTGTAATGCAATAGAACAGGATTGAAACCTTCCGTGGGATGATCTTCGGCCTCGGTTGTCAATCTATCTTTCTCATCAGAATCGGAATTTTGTGTGCAAACTCTCTTCACAGTGCCTTCTTCGAGTTTTTGTTTCGTTCGTTTCACAGTGCCTGGATGCCAGGGAATTTCTTCCTTGTCATAGGGGAAGAGACCACTCGATCCTAGAGGATCAGCTGGACGCATATCGTACGAGCCCCAGGAACTGTTTCTCGATGGAAGCGTGGCCCAGGAACTGTGAACTGAATTGTCGAGAACGACAGCGCTGTCATAGCTACTCCAGGAACTCTGACGACTTGGCGAGTCTCTGGTCGTTGGTTGTCTTTCCTCACGATCGAATACTCGGTCCAATTGAGCGCTGAACAAATCTCCTTCTCTTTTTGACTTTCGACACGAATCCTCACTCACTTCTCCATTTGAATTATTACAATTAGTTTCTGTAGACGCAGTCCAGACTAGACATTCACTATTATCAGATGATTTTCTAGAATCGGCTTTTTCGCCGGGATCCCATACTTCTTTTTTGAGTACGACGGCAGTTATTTGTGGGATGTGTTGACTTTGTGCTTGTTGATCCAATAGACCATTAACGAGTTCAACGAGAGGTTTACCATCGGTATCGGAACCAGGTGATGAGGGTTTACTCGTTGCGGCTTCGAATTGATTTGTCAAATTTAAAACAAGGCCCTTGCGCTTCTGTCCTTGGGTCTCTAGTTTGCTGACTCGATGCTTGACACTCGGACCATCGGGACCCGGTGTCAATTGGACAATTTGATTTTGTGAGACGCTGTACGATTGTCCATTATCACAAGGCATGAGGACGTTCCTCGCTTCTTGATCTACTCCAGTCTTTGGATTGGAGCCTCGCAGAAGTTCTTCTCGCGTGACTTCTGGATTTCCAGTCTTGTCGATACTCTCGAGAGACTGCGACAATGGAGCTGTAATATAAAAGAAAAATGTTTTTCTTTTTTCTTTGAAAATGACAAATTTTTTATAAATGAAAATGAAAAAAATAATAATAAACCTTAAAAGAACTGTTTGAATTTTTTTTTTTTTCATAAAATGGCACGAGTAAATTGGACGACAATCTCACCGGCCGGTATGATGTTTTCGGCAGCTTCCAAATTTGGCGACCAGCTCTTTGGTCTTTGACCTTTACTTTTCAATTCGACTCCAGATGATTCTGTTAATGAGCCATCAATGGAATTCACCTTTTGCTCCTTCTTGGTTTGTTCCTTGGCCAATGTTGGCGATTTTAAATTAGTATCAGACTTGGATCTCTGTAGCTTCTCTTTATTCTTCATTGCATCGAGAATGCCTTGATAAGTCTCGAGTTGCAGGAGAAAACTGTTATTAGGCTTTATACAATTTCTCTTATCCTTGACGTGTTTCCACGCCTGTGAGAAGTCCCAATTATATGCTTTCATCGCGTACGCAATGACAACGGACGCCGATCGGGACACACCCATTTTACAGTGCACCAACACTTTTGAACCCTCTTTCTTTGCTTTGGTTATGTATTTAAATGTGTCGTCCCAATGTTTCAGTAAATCCGTTTGCTCATCATCGTACACTCGAACATTTAAATAATTGAACATTCCCGGAAAGAAATTGTCAATTTCTCGTGTCACATTTAATATGTGCCTCACTCTGGAAAAAAGAAATACAATTCATTTAATTATATTGTTTTCTAATAATGATAAATGTTTGTAAATTTTTGTGCGAGAATTGTTTTTTTTTTTTTTTTTTTTTTTTTTTCTTACCCATTTTTTTGCAATTCCTCAAGATTACTCGCATTCCATTCGCTTCCCAAGTAAACGTGATCAAATATCTCGGTTGGAGAATCCATTTGACCTAGAATGGTGAGCATCTCCTGATCGATGAAAGGCTTAAACTCTCCTAAATCCATATCGAGATCTTCCTCGAGCCTCCCTCTGATGTACTTGGACGTAACTTCGTCAAGATCAACAGACATCATGATCTCCTTTAATGTCGATCGAATTACACGTTCAGTTTCTTCTCTCTCTCTCGGCCTAAAAAAAAATACGATTTTATTTTACTTATTATTATTATTATTATTTTATTTCGATTTTTTTATATATTACACCGTCCGACAAAATTCAATTTTTTTTTTGACCCACAAAAAACTCCAACATTTTCGGAAACTAGGACCAAAAAAAAAATACCCGTGTCTGGCAGTTTTGCTAAATCAAGTCGTTTATGGTTTTTAGGGGTGAAAACAACAAAAATTATTAATTTTTTATAAAACTTGGTATCTGGGGGTTTTCGAGGTCGCTGATTATTAATCTGATGTCATATTTTCAAAATTCAAAATGGCGGATCCAATATGTCGGTCAAAATTTTAAGAAGTTATTAATTTTTTATTTTATATCCGTCATTTTGAATTTTGAAAATATAACATCTGATTCGACATTAGCGACTCCAAAAACTCCTAGATAGGAAATTTTTTAAAAAATTAATAACTTAACATTTTAACCGCCATATTGGATCCGCCATTTTGAATTTTGAAAATCTAACATCAGATTAATAATTAGCGACTCCAAAAACCCCCAGATACCAAGTTTGATAAAATATTAATAATTTTTAAAAGATATATTGTCACTTTTTATTTAGGGGTTGTTTTCACCCCTAAAAACCACAAACGACTTGATCTAGCAAAACGGCCAGACATGGGTATTTTTTTTTTTTTTTTTTGGTCCAAGTTACCGAAAATGTTGGATTTTTTTGTGGGTCAAAAATCGTGTCGGACGGTGTTAGACATTTTTCCGAATTGGAAATATTTAATTTCTTTTACAACATTTTCTCTCTGAAATCATAATTTAATTAATCTTAAATTATTTTTTTCTAAGAAAGAATAAAAAATAACCACTGAAAAATATTTTTATTTTCTTGCAAGAAGTAAAAATTTACTTTTTTATTTTTCATTGCTATAGTAAATTACAAAAATTTATAGATAAAAAAAAAAAATGATTTCGTCATTTAAATGTTAAGAAATTTTAAGAAACACGTGAAATGACAATATTACACAAAAATTTATTTTTAAATTAAATATAAACTTTCTCAATATTTATTAAGAAAATATAAATTTTGCGGATATAAAATAATTTTAACAAAAAATGAAAATAGACGCAAAAACTGGAAATAATTGAAGGACGCAATAATTCATTATTTGTGAGTAAAAAAAAAACCTTGAATATCAAAGAGTTAGCATCTTTGGCGGTGAGCCAATTTTCTCAATAGTTTCCCTCGCGCTCATATGATTGTAAAACGTCACAAAAACAAGGAACTGTACGATTAATTAAAAATAGTTCTTTTATTCAAAAAAAAAAAAAAAAGTTCATTAATTTTAGCAAAAAAAGCAAATTAATTTTTATTCTTTAAATTTCATTTTTTTTTTTTTTAATAAAAATTTTTTCCAGAGGATTAAATAGTGTTTTAAAGACAAGAAGCCATTTAAGGTGCGACTGAATCTCAATCGTCCTATTTCTATCAAGATGACAGGCCTTAATTTCAAAAGACAAGTTGTGTATATCGAAAGAGAAAAAAAGATTAGAATAGAAACAAGAGCGCGCAGAAATTTAATTATATCTCCTAGGGATTGAAAGGGATTGTTCAAAGAGAAAGAGAGAGAGAGACTTTTAATGAGATGATTATTTTTAAATTGACGAAGACGACAACGACGACGACTCACTTGTTGCGAACGCTGTCCGGTGAAGGTGGTCTTCGAGACTCGAGATTATCCATGGCATGCCATTCATTGAGACACGAGCGATCACTTTCGATTCGTTGTTCATAGTAACTGACCCAATCGTGTGACAGTCCACCCAAAAAGTAATTTTGCTCTCGTGCCTTGCTAGAAACTTTGTGCAATGTCTGCAAAGCTGACCTGTAAAAAAAAAAAGAATTTCGTTAATTAAAATCATTAATTACCAAATAATTATTTTTAATTTAATTTTCCCTCAAATTTTTTTCCCCACACATTCTTTCGTTCATGAATTTTCAGTTCTCAATATATATATATATATAATTAGCCGATTGTGCAACAAAAGTGAGATAATTTCCACTTTTAATTTATTTTATTATGAGTCCAAAAAAAAAGAAAAAAAAACAACAACACACGAAATTCTTCATCATTAAATAATCAGCAACTTCTCACGACGTAACATTTGGACCATAAATTAAAGAGGATGAAATTTAGTTCAAACGAGAATTATATTTGTAGAAGAAAGCTGTGCGCACTCGTAATCAGTCTTAATTCTGGTTTAATTATCGAACGCCATATAAGTCCAGTGCGGAATTAAAAAAAAAGGAATGATAAATTTTTTTTTTTTTTTATAATCACTTTAAGTATAATTAAAGATTATTTGAAGTATTCATTAAAAAATCTCAAGGACCAAATAAAAATTTCCCCCTAAAATTTTTTCAAGTCAAAATCAAACTAGCATCTGTTTTCAAAAAAAATGTTAATTTTTTTTTATATATTTAATCTCTTTCAATATATATGGGTGAATCTCTCGAAAAGGACAAATGCTGAATTAAGAAAAAAAAAAAAAAAAAGTTCAAAACCACTGTTATGACTATTGCTATGTGAAGAGAAGGACCTAAATAAGTCTCTAAAATACGTTGTTACGATCTTTATGAACATTATTGTTTAAAAAATAATTGTTTAATATAAAATAATTGTTTAATATTTTGTCACCGATACAATGATCGAATCCGTTTACATCTTGTTACTCGAGGGTTTTTGGGGTCGCTAAACACGAATCCGGTGTTAGTTTTTCAAAATTCAAAATGACAGATCCAATATGGCGGACGACAATTTCAAAAATCAGTCCAATTTACTTGAAAATGGTTATTCGGGGGTTTTCGGGGTCGCTGATTACGAATTTAAGATCCGTTTTTAAAAATTCAAAATGGCGGACGACAGATTTAAACATCCATCCAATTTACTTGAAAATAGTTACTCAGGGGTTTTTGGGGTCGCTGATTACGAATCTGGAATCAGTTTTAAAAAATTCAAAATGTCGGACAATTATCTTTTAAATCTATTTAATTGGCTTCAATATCGTTAATTAGGGGGTTTCAATAACGGTGAACACAAATCTGAAGGTAACCCAAGTAACCATTTTCAAGTAAATTGGATTGATTTTTGAAATTGTAGTCCGCCATATTGGATCCGCCATTTTGAATTTTGAAAAACGGACCTCAGATTCGTAATCAGCGACCCCAAAAACCTCCGAGTAACCATTTTCAGGTCAATCGGATCGATTTTTTAAATTGTTGTCCACCATATAGGTTCCGCCATTTTGAATTTTTGAAAACGGACTTCAAATTCGTAATCAGCAGACGAAAATCTTGAAGGAACGATTTCGTTTGATTTTTTTAACATTATTATTCGACAATATTACATGTTCTTTTTTTTTTGACATGGCCCCCTTTGACCCCCTGTAATTCCGAAAGGGGGCATATGCTCATCTTGAAATTTTGCAGGGATTATTGGGTCATCATATGTTACCATTTGGCATAAAGAAAGTTTCAAAATTCGAGGTACGAAAAAGGTGCGTTTTTTTGCATGAGGCTTTATAATCGATGGATGTGACTAGCGATCACGGAGGGGAGTTTTCTTCCTTTAGGCGTAGCCAAAATTTATTGATTCTAATATAAAAATAATAAATTTTATAAAAAGAGTAATAATAGTATTCGCGATATTTAAAAGAATATTCTAAAAATTATTAATAATATTTATTATTTATTTATCAAAAAACTAAATTTAAAGTGGTCACGGAGGGGAGTTTTTTTGTGTCGACGAACATTGCGAAACTGAAAATCTTTCTGACACTTATTGTTTTCATTTCTTTCATGATGTTGTGTACTGACCAAAACAACATCGTCACTGTAAACACTTTTGAATTCATTTCTCAATTATCATTTTTTTTTTTCATTTACTCATTATATTTGTAATTGGTCACGGAGGGGAGTTTACTTTGCGAACAAAACTTATTTAATTCTAGGAAAAAATATTTTACAAATATTCTGTTTTACACTTTATAAATCAATTATAAATAATGTAATTAGTAGATGTTACTAGACAAAAGATGTTTTCCTATTGCAGTATGAATGCAATAATTCTTCTTTAAATAAAACTTACTTCGCGAACGGTAACGGAGGGGAGTTTTTACACTATATAAACATGATTATATTCAATTATTTAAAATTGTCAATTTTTTTTTATAAAATCTTATTAAATTCTGTTGACTTCTATAATAAGGCCCGCAACATTTTCAATTATTATAATTATTTATTAAAAATAATGTCATGAACGTGTCATTTGTCCTTTTTGTGAGAATGACCCATATATATATAAAAAATGAACGGAAATATACTTTCTACCATATTTAGAAATCATAATCATGATTGTCGTGCAAATTCCAAATTTCACTTTCAATTCTTTTAGTGTGAGTGCGAGTCTAAACAAACCACTCATGACAATATGCATGTCTCCTATATATCTAGAATGATTTCCGGGTTTTAAAAGAGACAACTTTACCTTCTCTCAATAAATATGTAATACTTCTATCAACAATAAATTCAGTTGTATACACTTTCTGACATTATTTCTCAAACGTTTACGTAAAGGGTTTTTTTTTTTTTTTTTTTTAAATAAATATTTAAATAAAAAAGAAAAAAAAATTTGTAAATTCCAGAAAAAATGGAACAATAATCTTGTGAAACACCTACAATGAAAATGATTAATCAGGCCCAAGATTCATCGTTAAAAAAAAGATTAATCTTTAAAAGAAGATTAATCTTTAAAAAAAAAAAAAGATTAATTATTAAAAAAAATATTTAGATTGATTACAAGGGAAAAAAATTACAAATCCATGCATGACACTGAAAAGTAGATGGGGAAAACATTAGTGTGACGACACTAAGCTTCACTCCAAATAAGGATAAAAAAAAACCATGAACGCCATTAACATTGCCAGTAGATCGTAACGGTCGACAAGAAAGTTATAAGTTATAATGCCAGTGCATTCAGATAATCAAAGGAGTTTGCGCGCTATATATAAAAGATTCTTGGTAATAATAATAATATGTACATTGAGAACGAGAATCCCAATACATAATCTCATAAATATATATATATATATATATATGCAACATTAATAATTCTTCTTTACGCAATTGAACCATTTTCACGCCAACTTTTATCAAAAAAAAAAATATATATATATATACACGACTTCTTGCATTTCTATCAAGAGTTACGACATGACAATTGCTCCTGTAATCATAATGTCAATTTTCTACGAAACGGAATGTTGTTTTGATTAATCGATCAATAAATCAAACGTCTTCTGATAAAATCCCATTATATATATGTTGCACTTTATTTCCGTCAAATTATACTATTATTATTATTATTATTATATTGCAATTACAGGAGTAAATATTGAGAAATTAATCAATTACACAGGCCTGAAAATTTTGGGTCACTTCTATCTATCTATCTATGATCTCTAATGGATTTTCTAGGTGATTGCATTTTGCAATCTATACCTTTGAGGTCTAATAATTTATATAGTTATTATTTCATATGAATTGACTTAGTAATTAGAAAATTTAATGAAGGTCCACGTCTAGTAATTCGACCATTCGTGGACGTCGACTTTTTGGAAGGCAGTCTTCAGGGTTGTAATTGATGGATTCTCGGATGTATTTATTGTCATGTTGCTCAGCTTTTTGAAATAACTTGATCGCTATTTCTTTTCCAAAGTGAATGCTTGATAAGTTGAGGTCTTTATGTAGTTGTATATTTGTTACAAATTAGGCTGCTTCGATCAGTTATGGTTCTGAGTATTTTATTTTGAATGACTTGTAGTTTGTTAATGTGAGTTTTTGTCGCAGAAATTCAAGTACCAATATTGTGGGTGTAGGCTGGTCGAATAACTGATAGATAAATCATTCTTTTCTGATTTATACTAAGGTGAGGATTTCTGAGAAGAGGACCTAGCTTTTGTAATGCAATGAAGCCAATTTTCTTCATTTCTGTTGTATGGTGATTCCAGATGAGTCTCTTGTCTATGTGTAGTCCCAGGTATTTTGCAGAATTTTCCCAAGAAATTTTGCTGTCTATTACTTCTATTTTGTCAGGAGGTAGTTTGATTCGGTTAGTGTATAAAACAGTTTGTGTTTTGTCTTTCTTAATGGCAATTTTCCATTTGGTAAACCAGTTGGTAAAGTAAGGTCACTTCTGTTACAAAGAAAGGGGAAGGTGATTCTTATAGGTTTTTTGACGTAGAATACGAATCCGATCTCCAAAATGGCCCATTACATCAGGACTTTTTGTAATATTGGCTTAAATGGCCATTTTGACCATTTTTGGGAATTTTTTGTGGCATACGAAATTGTATCGTATATAGTACTATGTCTAAGCTTTAAAACCCATTTTTAAAAATCGCTCTACGATTTTTTTTAAAAAAAAGTTATGAAGTTTTGAAATTTTTTCATTTAGGCAAAAATGTACATAAAACTATATAGACTGAGGTAAATAAGAAACGGGCTAGTATAGTAAAATAATAATATAATTTTCACCAAAAACACATTTTTTTTTCTTTCTTTTATTTATTAACAATAATTATATTATAATTAAAAGGAACAAAATCTGATAAATCGATTAAATAATTTTTTATTTTTTTCTTAAAGAACTAAATTATTATTTAAAATGTTTTTAAATATTGAAATATGTAATTCTCGCAACTTTTCTTTAAAAATTTTCTTACTGAACTTTTTTTTTATAAAAATATTACAATACAATATAAAATTAAACATTTAAAGCAAAACTTAATAGTCTCTGCAGTACTTTTGTGTTTGAGTCTTTGGCAA